CCTCCTGTCCCCTCGGAATAGCCCCTTCCCTGCGCTATAACCCCTTCCATACTCCCCTCCCTTCCCAATGAGCAGCTGTATTCCTCATAATGTAGCGAACGATTTGTATTTTGTATAAATTTTACAGGCAACGTTCGCCGGTTGCTGCTCTCGTGTTGTTGTTATCGCCGGGTTATATCCGTCGATATATATATAAAGATATATATATATGGAGGAGGGAAAATGGGCGGGGGAACGGGGTAACGGGGTAACAGTTATGTATGAAATATAATAAAATTGTACAGGAAATGACGAACAAGTCGAGAGCGGAGAAAGCTCGACGAGGGAACTGGAGAGCGGCTCGAGGAACATTTTAACCATCGAATGGTTTGATTATTAAATCCATGAAGTTTTTCCACATGGAGATGCACTGGGAAAACTGGGAGTTAATTAAGATATGTCAGTCTTTATCTTTTATATACTTATTCTTAACATAAGTTTAGAATATCGAAAAGGTTTTTCAATAAGGAAGCAACAGAAAGAGTCGTGCAGTATTTTAGATACCTCAAGACAGTCATAAAGCCATTAAACATCAACAAGTTTTTCTTGATTTTTCTCCGTGTGTGTATATATATCAAAATTCACTTGATTGCAGTTTTCAAGTGAAATCCTAGCACACTCCACAACGACTCGTTGGCTGCGCCTAAGGGCTGAGCATTGCAGGATATCGCCGGGCGGCAAGTGGGGGGACTCCAAGAGGATATAGGAAATATATTCCTATAAATGGGAGCACCCCCTACCCATCGGCCGCGATGTAATTGATGTTTCAAGTAGCAAAGTGCGCGCCAAAAACTACGAGGCCCAAGTTGATTTTGATTCAGTTGCTGCAGAATTTTAATGAAGTTGAGTATTGGCTGCAAGTTTTGCGACTAAATCAAATTAAACCACATGTGCTCCTTCCTGCTTTCGAGGAAAAGCCTAGGAAATGAGCCCGACTTCGGTCTTAGACCGAAAAACTAATGCAAGTTTCGGCCTCCCCCACTTGCTTTTAGCCTGTTTGAGTTGGCTTTCAATAATGCTTTTCACGCTAATTAATTTTCGGTTTTACACAAATACGAACCCAATCACACCCGCACACAATCGCAGCCACACACTTTGGGCCGGCACTTGACAATTTCCTGCGCGGCGCAGAGGGGGAATTTCTTGAAAAAATAAGCAGGGGTGACTCACGGAAAATCTATCCGGTCTAGGGGATGAGGCAGTCGCTTCCTCCCCAATAAACTCGATTCGTTTTGCAAAGGGTACTCTTACTAGAAACAAGGATATATCTTTTGGGCATACAAGCTAGTAAAAACTGTAATGGAAAACATGAAACTGACTGCCAAAGACTACTTCCAATTGCTACTTTACTATTATTAACATCTGATCTATTAATACAGGGTAACCTTCTGTTGTTACCCCTAAGCTCGTGTCTAAATATATTTTTCTGGCACTCTCCGCGTATTAGGCCTTAGAGCATTTGTTGCCCTTGCCTTCCGCCGGCGTTTCCTGCTGCGAATTTGGCTAAATTGCATTGCCACAACAACTGCGTCTGAGGCTTGTTGCTTGAGCGAATCAGAAATTGTGGCAGCCACCCCGCAACCAAAACCTCAGAAGAGCCGCACAAGTGCCGCTTGACTCGGACTGTTTTCTGGGGCCAGGACGGGATGTCCCTGGATGGGAGTTACTTCTCATTCACGCCCAATTGATGCGGTCTTAACGCCTGACTAGAGGCCAGAAATCTGGCTGAGGGTTAGCTAGAGAACCTGCCTCAAAAAGGCTGAGGTTGACTCGGAAAAAAGGTTTCGGTTTCGCACGGAACGCCTTCTTCCCGGCTTGGTGACATGGGGCGTTTCCAGACAGAAAATGGCGGAAGATGCGAACGCCCCAACGTTTTCTGGGTAATGCAATTTGGGGCAACCCGTAAGTCAGCCCTTAAAGGGGGGTTCCAGGTTTGGAAAGATGTCTTAAAATCAGTTTTACTTTTCAGATAAAAATAGCATAAATATCTGAAAGTTTTTAATAGTTCTTAAATTGTTAATATTTCATGGCAGTTTTCCCAGAAATAATCACCATTTTCTCTCATTAATCATTTGTATTAATAAATTGAAACGCACAGAAACGAAATTAAGGTTAAGCCGTTTTAAAACAACAAGGCATCTAGTCTAAGCAGTTTGTTTAACAAGAACTCAAATTTGCTGGCATTTTAAGACCAGATTTAATAAGACCCAATTGCAGTTTGCGTGGCGCTTAGGTACTTAAACTAAAATTGATGCAATCACCACAAAAGTTTATGCATTTTCAATCGAAATTGATTCAAGTTCCAACTTAGACTCGGGCCTTTCCGCACTAATCTTTCAGAAACTCTTAGATCAACATTAATTCATCAACTCTAACGATGTCTTCCAGCTTGAGAACGCCTAAGTTTTAGTCCGGCAAATAAATCCAAGCTTTAAGAAACTGTTTTTAGTATTGATTAAATTCGCTGCAGACAGGCAGGCCATCAAATGCAGTTGAGTGCCGTGGATTTTGGGGCCGATTGGAGCAATCCGCCAAGGCAAAGCAATCGCTAAGCCGCATAATTATATATAGAATACATAAATGCAGATGCCCAGGCGTGGGTGGGGTTGCTGCGGTCTTCCCGATATTTCATACAGACATATAGACATATAGACTGGGCCCGCATCGGGCGAAACGCAACTCAACTCCACGCAACTCAACTAATGGTCCATTCGTGGCACTTGGTTATTGACGTTGGACTCGAATTGTATTAACAATGCATGCAGCAAGTGCACCGGCAAAGGCAGGGGGCGTGCCAGGCGGATAGGGCGACAGGGGGGGCGTGGTCAAGCAGGGGGCTGGTGGGTCAAGCAGCAAGCGGTAACGGTTCGCTTTGATGCCAAAATCGAAGCGTGGTCAACTTCATTTCGCTTAATTTCGTGTTGAGGCTCACAAATGAGGTACAGTGAATATACGATTAATGGAAGAATCAGTATTGGTAAAGATGCTAAGAAGAACAAGGAAAATGGAATGTTCTTAAGTAAACATTTTGAAGTAATTTGATCTTTAACTGGAATTTATTCAATAGTTCAATAGTTTGAGGTTCGCCTGTACTAGAGGGAGTGAAGTAGGAGCAGTGCGCGATGCGTGTCCGCTAATCCGCTGGATGTGGGAACGGGGGAAGCAAGGGGATCTGGGGGATGTTGGGTAACTCCCTGTGCCACCGCCCCGCAACCCCCTTTCGATGCATGCCACTCAGCTATGACATTTTGGCAGCGTGGAGTGCACCAAGACTGTCAAATGAGTTGTAATGAAATCTCACTCAGGACTCTGGATATATACCTCCGTCCATATGCATGTGTGTGTCTGTGTGTGTATGGGTGTGTGTGTGAGGTCCAGTCAGCTTTGGTCAGCTGCACATATAATAAATAAATTATTTGGCATTTGGCGTGGCGTATTATTGAAGGCAACTGCAGCTGGATAACCACACACACACACACACTCACTCACATAGTGCCATTCGGGCTCACACGAGCGCAGAGCAGCGCCATCTGTCGTCCGCGTTTTGAGACAGATTTGGGCATTAGCGTGATTAGTCTCAATAGTCGCTAGTATTTAGCAAGCGCAGCCTCGTAATCATCTAGAAAAGCAACTTTAAGTAAACTTAGTAAACTTAAATCTAAAGTTTTAGTTAATGGTATATCCAACACACATATGTGATATGGTATTCTGATGTTCTGAAAACGGATATTTGCTGTTACAGAACAAATAGCGACGTTAGGAGTCTGTCGGATTAGTCACCCCATACAAATAAAGCAATTTCAGTCGGCTAAAAAGAAAAACTTGTGAATAATATATAGTTTGCGGCGTAATGAGCCGAAAAGTAAATCCATCCATTGCATGTTCGGGGCCCATAAAACTAGGCAACGATTTCTGAGAACATCGCCACATTGTCTGGCCCACGGCGGAGTGCAGGGGCAATGGAAAGGACGGAATGGAGTGCTCCTCTCCCAGTCAGTCACATGGCAAAAAGTTACAAGTAATACTTAACGCTAAATGGGCACAAGTGCCCACCTGAGCCAGTACCACTTCAGTCTCTTGTTGTTTTTCCCGCATTCCCCCCTTGCATGGGAATTTTTGTAATGAAGTTATCGACAAGGTGGATCCGAACCTGAATCCAGCCACTAACATATGTAGAACAATATGCAAATGTTACTTTGTTATGCAATTAGTGAATTCGATGCAAGCCACTCGACAGTCGGCAAACAGACAACCGCAGCAACGACAGCCAAGTCGCCACTCGAAGGTTCACTCCGCCAGTTAAATGTATCGTTGACGTTGCCATCGAATTAGAACATCACTGTGCAGGAGCCACTGTAGTTTGGACAACAAGAATCCCCTTCAATAGGATTGCAGTAACATACCAAAACTTGGATATAAACAAATATTAATATTTCCTTTTCTGTCTGAAAGTAGGCAACAAAATATTACCGTCTAGTTCATGTTCTTCATCGGAAATCATAGTTTTAGGCACAGACGCGAGTACTTTTAAGTACCTAAAGAGTATTTCTCCCTAAAACAATAAAAGTTTCAATCTGAAACAACTTCAAAAAAGATATAGAGTATCGAAATTCTTTGTTTTTCTGATCCAATAAGTGAAATCGGATGACTCGCAAATACAATACCCACTAAATCCACAATCTGTTGCAAAAACACCATGGAAGCAATAAACCCATATTACACATGGGCAATATCGAAGAACAAAAAATGAAATTAAACGAAAATAGGTCGATTTTGCATGTCAATCAAATGGCAAAAGGTGGGCGGGACTCGACGAGACAAGAGGAGACGGCGCATCGAGCGCTAACCAAAGCGATTCACACAATTAATTGAAGCACCACTTACCTTAGCTAAGTTCTTTCTTCTTTCTTTTCCTCACTTTGCTCATGCTTGAATTTCATATCTTTTTTCCGCATCCGCAGGCCAAAATGATGGAGAACTCGCACGCCTGGATGGGCGCCACCGGTTCCACGCTGGCAGGTTTGTAAAGCCACCAAGTCGACCTGCTCGAAACCATCTGATCGTGGTTCTTGGCCCCCTCTTGATCTTTCAGCAGACAGCTACCAGTACCAGCTGCAGTCAATGTGGCAGAAGTGCTGGAACACCAACCAGAATCTGATGCACCACATGCGCTTCCGTGAGCGAGGTCCTCTCAAGTCCTGGCGTCCCGAGACCATGGCGGAGGCCATTTTCAGTGTGCTGAAGGAGGGTCTATCCCTGTCACAGGCCGCCCGCAAATATGACATCCCGTATCCCACGTTCGTCCTCTACGCAAACAGGGTGCACAATATGCTGGGACCCTCCATTGACGGCGGGCCGGACTTGAGGCCCAAGGGCCGTGGCAGACCGCAGAGGATCCTCCTGGGCATCTGGCCCGACGAGCACATCAAGGGCGTCATCAAGACTGTGGTCTTTCGCGACACTAAGGACATCAAGGACGATAGCTTAGCTGCTCACATGCCGCCCTACGGTCGACATTCGGTAGGTAATTACTGCAGTATAGTTCGCAAAGCTGCCCGTTGAAAATTTCACAATTAAATTTAGGTCTCTCAGCCATTTTCTTAATATTTTTTTTGAAGAATCACCTAGCTGGCGGAGTAAAAGCCATATAAAAACTTACATTTCTTTCCATTCGAGATCTTGATAAGTTTTCTTGATTTTCTTTCGCGGAAAATGCAGCTTCGCTTAGTATACTGTATAGGGAAGACTGCTCCATGAATTGAACTAACTTCTCTCGGGTTAGCCCGCGTTTCCCTTGCAGGACCTCCCTCTGAGTTACCCCGGCGCAAGTGGCGCCCTGGCAGGAACACCCAGCTCCATGGCCTGCCCGAATGGCAGCGGCCCTCAGTCCGGGGTGGGCGTGCCCGGTGACCAGCACATGTCGCAGGAAACTGCCGCTGCGGTGGCCGCCGTGGCCCACAACATCCGGCAGCAGATGCAAATGGCAGCGGCCGTGCAGCATCAGCACGGGGAGGCGGGGCCGCCGCCCGTTCCGCCTGGTTTGTTTAATCTGCCGCCTCATCCGGGAGTGGGAGGCGGAGTGGGGGTGCCAGGAGCGGGCGGAGGTAGGGCCAGCATATCGCCAGCCTTGAGTAGCGGCTCCGGGCCAAGGCATGCACCCTCGCCCTGCGGTCCCGCTGGCCTGTTGCCGAATCTGCCGCCCAGCATGGCCGTCGCACTGCACCACCAGCAGCAGCAGCAGGCTGCGCACCACCAGCAACAGCAGGCTGCTCATCATCACCTGCAACAGCTCCACCTGCAACAGCAACAGGCCCACTTGCACCACCATCAGCAGCAGCAGCAGCATCATCAGGGGGGCCATCAGGTCCCCCACAAGGCCGGTTTCGGTGCCAGCTCCAGTTCCTCAGCCTCCTCCGCGATGGGCCAGCATCCGCCCAAGGCCAAAGGCAGTCCGCTACGCAGCGAAACTCCTCGTCTGCACTCCCCGCTCGGCGATCTTGGCCTGGACATGGCCGGCTACAAGCGGGAGTTCTCGCCCAGCCGACTTTTCGCCGAGGATCTGGCTGAACTGGTTGGCGCCAGTGTCTCATCGTCCTCTTCCTCAGCTGCAGCGGCAGTTGCTCCGCCCGACAGATCGGCCGGGGGACCTCCAACGGCCGCGGGCGCTGATGTACCCAGTTCCTCGAGCAGTGGTGGCATCAAAGTAGAACCCATCACCACCACTAGCGAGTAAGAAGGGTTTGAAATGAAGAAAATGAAAAGGGAAAGTTATGAAATGATAAAGAGTGAACTAAATCCAGGAGCACCAACAGCTCTACTGGACTCATGTGCACCTATACCTTGGTTAACTGACTAAATCGGAACTAAGTAATCTTTTCAAATAAAACTATAAGGAAGGTTTACAGATATTTGAAGCTAAAACTGAAAGGATACTTCGAAATTGTAATCAGCATTCCCTGATTTTGAATACTTTCAATAGAACATAATCATCCTATTAAATATAACATCGATCCTTTGATTCCATGATAAATATAACCGAAAGTATGTACATAAACTAGATGTAAAAGGTTTCTATTGATCTTCAGTTCGTAAACTTGATATCCAAACGAATTTAAACATAAGCTTTAAATATTTTGTTTCCTTAATGCTAAAAATGTAAATCAATAACCATGTTAGCCAAGGTATAAGGGCACATCCGGCAGTCTTACTCTAGTTTCCTCCACGCGATCTTCGCCACCTAGTTTCTATGCCTAGCGTACTTATTGAATCAAAATTGAAGTATTATTATGTTATAGTCCATCAGTCTAACTAAATAAATAGCGATCGATCTCTTTAGTTGTAAGCAACGGCGGAGGAACATTCCACAGAAACCAACCGAGCAGATATTTCAATTTAAACCGAATCCAACCCAGCAGCATAATATTAATTAATGTGAAGAATCAAAAGAGTTTAAGCGGATTTAACTTGGTGATTGTGTGCCCGACCTTTGTTTAGTCTTTAATTTACAAGAAGCGAGAATGAAAAATGTACAAAATTACAAAAAGAAAAAAGGAAAAAGGAAAACACAAATGGAATCAACTAAATTTAATGTTTAGGCTTAACGATAACGAAAAAGAAATTCACAAAAAATGCCTTTCGGAATTAAATTCAGCGATGAACACACCGCAAACAAAATTTGTAAAAAGAATGAAACAAATAACGAAACAAGCGAACTTTTTTAAACGTATTTTTACAAGCAAAATTTTTAGACAAAATTTAGAAGCGAAATTTTTTATAGCGACTCCTGCTGCGACCCGGTCGAGCTCGTGGCCCCTAATTTGAGATTATTGGACTCCCAAGTAGAAGACCCCGAGAACTAACCCCCTTAGCCCCCACACTAGATCCCCGTCTAAAGTGCCTTTTCTAGCCTTAATTTGGACTCTGCTCCGCTTCTGTCCCGGCGAAGAGCTAGGCCAGGGATTCGCAGCACGGTTCGTTGGTTTATTTGACAAGTCTGGCGACATTATAAGGATTGGATATCGAGACGACGATATCGAGACATGAGTACGAGTATAACTTTTGGTTTAACCCATTTAGGCATACACTTTCGGCAACGTTTCGTTTGGCAAGCACACAATTTGATGATTAATCGGACGAGAGTTAATTACGATAATGGATAAACACAACTATTTTTGCATACGCAAGAACATCTACCATAGCCATAGCCCGTATATAAACACACACACGATATATAAGCATCTATGTAATCCCCGGTCCCCAATAGACTTTGATGTTCCAAACGTATCGAAACTTAACGAATTACTTTCGGAATAGGATGTAATATAAACAATGGCAAGAGTTAGCGGTTAGAAATCTCCTGGATATTGTGTATCTTTGTACGATCTGGAACAAGCGTCCAAGTCCAAGTCCAAAACTCAACATTTTCTATAAACTTTAGTGCAAACTTTATGTTCAAATTAACTTTAAATGTCGAAATGAATGTTCTAATTAATCCAAAAAACAAAAATCTAAAAGCGAAAAACGAAAAACGGAAATGGAAAACCGAAACGAACAAAAGTATTTTATAAAAACATTGAAAAGTAACCCAACCCCGAAAGTCTTCTTATTGCTTACCAACCTTCACCGCTCTCTTCGGCACTCTTTTCTTGAATTGCTTTTTGACTTAGTGTTTATTGGGCTATATCATACTGGATACTGGAATCTATCTTTGGATATCAGAGCACGAGGGGCACGGACTCCGCCGGCGGCTGATTGATCTCCTGGTGGCGTTGTAGCAACCCCAAACACTGATGCAGGCACTGGGTGCTTGCCGTCGAGATCGCCTTGAGCAAAAGAAGATCGGGATCCGTCGGCGAGAAGGAAGCACAGTCGATGCTCTCGATGGCCCTGGCCAGAGAAGCGTTACTGGAATGGGATCGGGCGATTAATATGAGTAGAGGGAAATGGGGAATTGAATGAACAATAAACTTTATATTGTTAAATACCATTGTTCCGTGAGAAACAAAGCTTGGCGAGCTGAAACCATGGCATCGGAGGCGGCAAGCAGCTCCCGCGGTGGCAGTGGCGACGAGTTGCTGATGTCCATGGCCTTCGTGTGGCTCTCGACCACCGCTCGCAGTCCGTCCACCCACTCCTGCCTGGCCCTGGCATCGTTGGCCCTTAGTTTTACAGTATCGCCGGAAGCGCAGGCAATGGCAAAGGTCCTGGAGTCCTCGTCACTTGGATAAACCACAGCTCCAGCCAACTGAACCTGCCCCCTAGGAGCACTGGCGAGGACATGGGGCGAGGGAGCAATGTCGTCGCCCACCGTCGAGGAGTCGCACAGGTAGTAACTCAGCGATCCTGTCTTTGCGTCTACTGTGAACCAGCGGTACTGCCATCCTAGAAAATCAACGGATTAGGATGGGCAATTATATTGTATTTTAATGAAATTCCATTGAAATAAAAGCGATATGAACTGTTTATACAATTACATGGGTTTGATGACGAGACTGTTTGCCTATGAATCATACTTAAGCAGAAACTGATTAGGAAACTAATGAATGTTTGTCCAATAAGAAATCCAACTTCAAATCTGCTCACCCTTCATCACATTGGTGTATTTGCTGAGCTGCCCGCTGAGCTTCAGCTTGGCTGACTCCCGAATGATCCTGTTCAGGTTGCTCTCCATCTTGAAACAGTTGCCCTTACAATCCCTAGGACCAGGGTGCTCCTCCCGCGTAAAGTGGGTGCTCCACGAGACGAAATTGTAGAAGCTGGCGGAACTTCCGGCAGAGGGGGCTGCTGCCAGTGGGGGCGTGGCCTGCCGCGGGCGGATCTTCTTCTTGCGCTGACGGAACGAGTTCTTGATTTTTCGTAAAATGTTTGCAGGAATTTTATTTAATTTATTTTGCACAAAAAATTCAACACAAGCAAAACAATGTAATCAGTGTGACCGTCGCTGATGTGTGAGAATTTAGCATTGAGCTTCCGAGAGTGGTCAGACAATCGATAGCTCATATATATCATATATCATCAAGCTTTTGAGAGCATGTAAATAAAGCCATATCAAATAAGCAAATCTATACAAAATTACTGAAATTTAGCTGGCTTGGTGTACATACAATTATACCTTCTTACTATTTATGCATACTTATGATTTTTAACACGCAGAAAAGTCTATGAAATACACCAACAATCTAGCTACTTCTGTCTATTTGATCTGGCCATTTTCGGCTATAGTTGGTAGCACTGACTCTTAACCGCCATAGAAAATCCGTTGAGTGTGACCAGATAACTTCCCAAATAAAGATATTTTAGGACATTAAAAGCCTGAGGGATTGACGGCTGCCCCTCTTCTGGTAACACTACCGCATTTCGCAAAATCCAATTTGTTTAAACAAACGGAGAGCGCCCTTCCGAAAATCACCGCTTCTTGAAAAATGAAAGATATAGTTTAGTGCGCGACGTTTGGCGAATTGCGTGCAACGGTAATTTGGTGGCTTTCCCAAGGGAAACTCAAGTGCAAAACAAAAGCAGAGCGAGTGAAAAAAATCAATTTGGTGGCACAAGCAGTGGCAAGAAGAAGAGCCAAGATGATGTGATGATACAGATGTACATATACATATAAACACGGCTATATATACATCTGGAGTTTGTGTTAAAATTAAGGCAATTAAAAGATTGTGGATTTGTGGCCGTTTTGCAGAATCAAATGTTCGAGTGCGTGTTGTTTTTGGGAAAAAGGAAAGGAAAATGTCTGTGTTTGAGCGAGTTTTATTTGATGTTTTTATGTTTGCGTGTGATTTATGACATTTAACGGGAGTACATATGTGTATATACCATATATGTACGTGTGCACCCCTGTGCGCGTGTGTGCGTGTGTTTGTCTGTTTGTATCTCCCTCTCACTCCCACTCGCAGAAAAGTGCGAGGGTGACTGAAGAAAAAAACTCCACTTTTCTATCTAAAAATAAGAAAAACCTCATGAATTATATGCAAATAGTGAGCGAAATGTAGAAAATCCTCTGAAATACCAATTGCTAATCCGCTTCTCCGTCTTTCCATTCATTTTCCACCCACACAAACAAACAAACACACAACATACGAAAAAACCGCAGCAAACACAACAACAAAGAGTGACCATGAAAATGCCAGCGAGAAATTCGCGAAAATCAATGAATAAAGGCAGCGGATCCTAATAATAACTAATAGTACTGTTAGCCAAGTGAAATTCGAGGCTGGAATTCGTTATGCTGCAGTGCCCATCATCGGATTAAACGTCGGGCGGAGATCCGGAGATCCCCTAGATCTCCTCCATCCAACCAGTGATTAACCTTTCGGCGACAAGCCGCCCCTCCACTCAGTCCCAATTAACCCCCTCTCGCCAGAATGGATGGCCAGAGGGCCCGGGATCTCCTAACCCTTCTCCAGGAACGGGTGGTCTTTCTCACGGGCGGACGGGATCGTCGCGGCGGACCGCTCCTTTGCTTCCCGGCCACGCCCCGCAGAGATCGACTAAAGCCGGAGGATCTGCGGCGACTCCTCAGCTACCTGATAGGCATTCCCAGGTAAGTCTCGACATCTATAACTGGTTAATTTCTGATAGGATCAGTCTCCTGACTGCGAGGTTGTTCGCTTTTCTAAAGAGTTACATCAATTATGCTTATCCCATTTGGATAAGATAATAAAGATAGCAAGATAAGTTCGATTATTAAAATGGATATATAAATAAGTTATAGCCATTTCCCCTTATAGAAATAACACTAGTGAATGACAGTTCTTACTGATTAGATCATTTTGTGACTTATAAATAGTATTTTATCCTCTTTGACAGAAAAGTTGTAAACAAGCTGATTACAATTTAAAAATAAATTTCTCTACGGCGTGAACACACTGGACTAATAAATACTAATAATCGTTAAGTTATTGTTAAATAATCATTAACCATGATACGAGTGAAATACTCAAACTCTCTGATTACGTTATTTAGATTAGTATAGAACAGCAATATCTATTGGGTAATACTTAGATTAATAGAATTGTGGGTCAGACCCTTACATCGCACGGTATTTGAACTATTTAAGAAATGTAAATATTTAATTTTATTGCTTTTCTTGTTGGATTTGTCATGCTTTCTATACATAATCTGCAGCATATGCATTTAGGTTTTTCGTAGGCATTTTCATCACCATTAGGTTTTACGACATCTAAATAAATCCCAAAATATTCTTGGAACTTGAAATGATTCACCCAAATCATCTGGCACCCAATGAAAATTTACATTTTTCAGTTGACAGAACAGATATGTTTTTATTAGATCACATTTTTCCTTATAAAAACGTCCAGCTTAGTTTGGTGCAATTAAAGTTTGAGCTTAAAGTGAATTGCATGATCTCAGGCTTTAGTTTCAATTTATTCGAATTGAGAACGTCAAGTTGCTAGGTATTTATACTGCAATGTTGCCTTTGGCGGCACTAGTTCAAAATTTCTCCAGCCTCTTGAATTTTGTATTTATTATACAGTCATCACTCGTTTTAGTGGAAATATCTTTTCTTATAGCAATATGATTCATACTTTACCCATAGCTCCAAGCCAAGTATTTTAAACCAGAATTGGCCTTGTATAATTCTGCTTAACCGCAGTCCTAACAGCGGGGTTTCATATTACGGGGACTCACTGTACCAGTACAATGGCTACCCATTGTGTCAGCTGACGTCGCGACATCGCTGGCTGCGCTTCGTTTGCAATTTCGGTAGAGTCGCGACGTCGTCGCCTCACCCGCACCTATATATCGTATATGTTTTCTGAATAGGGGGAGGAAGCAGGGGGTGGTCGAAAGAAGAGGGGAGAGGGAGGGAGAAGCAGCTGCTGCAGCTGCAGTGCCACATTCCACTTGATTTTCCTGTTATAGTCGTCCGCCTGCAGTCGCATTTTTATGAATCATCATCGTCAGACGATTGCAAGAACAGCACGCACATTGTTCTTGCCTCGCCCTCTCTTTTACTCCGCGTACACCCATCTGTTTCACCGCTGGCTGCTGTTGACATTGAATCGCAAGAGTGCGGGTTGAAATGGGTGGCAAAAGAGGGCCAGGCCGGGTTAAAAAAGTCATAAAAGTAAATATTTTTAAATAAAAACTGGCAGCAACAAAAGTTGCATAAATCCGTGCGATAAAGAAAGCACCAAGAAGCAAGAAGAAACGCCAGAAGAAACACAGATACGAACGCATACATATGGGCAAAAACCGGGGACCGGCTTCCAAAGACTTTAAGACCTCAGCTCAAAGAATGCGAATATTTTTTGCTGCTGCCTCGCTCGAACACTAAAAAACCACAACAAAAACCAAAATGAGCCATAAAACGAGAAAGAAAGGAAAGAAAGGGTAATTTGGGCGAACAGTGGTGCTTCGATAACAATGAACATGTCCGAATGACTTTGGTTAATTAAATTGAACAAAAGATTTAGAGGATTTTCTTTACTAGATAAATGAGTTCGTTGGATTAAGAAGATTGAAAAGTTTTTGAGAATTAGTTTCGGTTTTAAGTGCTGGAAATTAAGCTTCAACTGCTTCAGAAGTTTCCGTTCTGCTAGGAAAATAATTATATATAATTATTCAACAAAAATTAAAGAGTAGTTATTAAATATCGAACCAAGTTGTATCGCTAAAAAGGCAAATAATGCTTAAGCCCGAAGAACCTTGACCATTTAACTTGGGTAACTTTTCCTACATTTTATATCTGAACTCGGAAATACCCTTCGCGAGTTCCCTCATCGTTTGAGCCAAAAGAACTATAAAGTTGATGGACTTCTTGCTACGGCTAGAGAGCTGCTATCGAGATGGCTGCCAACGGCAACAAACTCGGAATGATAATAAGACCCTCGAGTTGATGATGATGGCGACCCAAGATTGCGACACACGACAAGAGTATCTGATGAAAAATAGTATCTGCTGGAGAAGTGGAAAAGCAGAAGACATCACACATTCCCCAATCATTGAGAAAGGCAGAAACACACGTTCCTCGCCCATTTAGTCATGCTCATTGGCGCAATCATGGCGCGATATTAAGTTATTTCAGCTAACAACTTTTCGCCAGCCGTGAATCACTGGAATCGACACGAATTCCCACGCCGTATCCCATTTCGTTGTTATCAGTCGACTAACAAGCGGAGCATTGTATTATCAGTGACCCGCTTTTCACTGGATCCCCCGCTCAGAAATGAGGAAAAACACAAATAATGGATCCATGCCAGACACTTCAGGTTCGCCCGATAAGCAAATCGACGACGCCGTCGTCGTTGGAGTCCATATTCCAAATATACAAAGTGGTACTGGCTTTCCCTTATCGCATCACCGCCATCCACGGAATTTGGGCTCCGTTCTGGCAGTTTGCCCACTGTGCGCTTTATCTTTGATTTTCTTTCTTCGAGGTTCTGCTGCCCCTATGCTGGCTTGGCTTTGATATTATACCCTACCATTGGGTTTTTGGTAACTTTTAACTTTGATTAATTAGACATCTATTAGATCAGTTTAAATCAGTATTAAGCGGTTAACTAAATGTGAAATTTAATTATGTTTGCTAATCATCTTGCTAACTAAAACTTAAATCCTGATTCTGATGTACTGTGCTGTGGTAAATCACTTTTTAGGGTATCCCAGCATTCGTTTCCAATTGTTTAGTCTCCGTTTTTGTTTTGCTTTGCCTTCGTTTATGTTTCGCTTTTGTTTTTGTTTATTTGCTTTGGCGTGAAACACTTTTTGTTTATTTCTGCGCCTGTTTGTGCCTTTGTCTCTCTGTTCCCGAGACTCGGCCAAATTGGCAACCGAAGTCAAGGCGTCTTCTTGCTGCTGTCGTCAATGCAAATTCCGTGAATCGAGGGAGTTCTCAGCATTTTAGACACGTCCATTCCGTGGACTTCCTTTGGGGGTATATCCACACCCCTGCACCCTCGAAAAAGGCCTCGGATTTATGGGTTAAATAAACGATTTTTGATTGGACTTTGTGTTTGGTTTTCTTTTCTTTTTTGTCGACGACTTTAGAATGCGGGCGACACTTTTTCTGTCTCCCTGTCTCAGATACATTTTTGATATCGAATCGCCCGTTTCGAGGGTTTTATTAGTCATCAAAAAAGTTGCCCATGCCCCTCCAGAAAAATATACAAAATTTCCAGATACGTCGCACGATAAGAAGTTCCGGAAGGGTTTGAGAACTTTTATGGAGGGGTTAGCCATTTGGAACACCAAAGTTCTGGTTTCCCAAAGACTTTCGTGTTGGAAGGGAAACTTTCCCGGCTATAAAATGCATTCGAAAAGACGCCTCTTCATTTTCGCATTGTTCTTCGGGGGCTAAACCCCTAGAAATGCCCATCAATCCAGCAACCGCACGACATATGTATAAACACGAGAAGATAACGTGGTTAAGACCGGGAACCGAGAGTCGAGAACCGGCCAAGAAGTAGCGGCAGAACAGAGGGAACAATAGGAATAACAGGCGGAATCGAAGGGGGCGGAGTTGCGCAGACATCAATGAAAGAAATATTTATAGTTAATGGAGCGATTAAAATTCAAGAGGAATGCAAATCAGAGCGTTGGGCGGTCATTGGGGGGAGGTGTGTAGGAAATTATTAGCTGAAATTGGTGTCAGAGCAATAGAAACCGACCTCAGACCATAGAAGAAGCCGTGCTGTCATAATTTATGCAAGCGGCGTAAACAGAGCAACGAACCAAGTCCGATCCACGACACTCTCACTCACGTACATCAGTGAAGACGCTGCACTGTGAAAAAAACTTGGACCTGCCCAACATTACTTTACTTTGGTGTCGTCCCAAATTTAGTTACTGATATTTTGAGCATGGATCCAGATTACAACTTTTTAGCGAAATTTCCGATATTTTTACTAGTATTATGCTTATAACTCTGTCAAAATAAGACTGACAGCTATAAGGAGGATTGTTTTGTGCAGCTTACGATCCCAGCAAACTTCCTATGTGGGTATGGCAATGATTTTCGGAAATTACATTTTTTGTGAAATTTCACTTTTTTTGTAAGGGGTACCATCATCTTTTTTTCGAAAAATTGAAAAAATATTTTTTTTCTCAGATTTCAATGGGACTTCAATATTTTGAAAATAGTATGAAAAACAAGCTCAACGAGATGTAACATCCCGTTTTCCGACCATTACTGGCGTTGTAATAAAGAAAATACTGATATTTTGAGCCTCAAATCGGGAAAGAACCGATTTTCGCATTTTTTAAACATCATAAAAATTTAGCAAAAATCTAAAAAAAAATCACTTTTTGAGTGTGGTACACAGTTTGACGGGGAATTTTAATACGAACTCAACGAGGTATAACATTCCGTAATTTGAGCAATTTTGGCTCAGTAATGAGGGAAATACTGATATTTTGGACTGAAAATCAAAATTGTGACGTTTGAGTAAAATTCGCGATATTTTTCCCTAGTGTTATTCTTATAACTTTGTGAAAATAAGACGCAGAACCAAAAGGAAGACTGTTTTGTGCAGCTAACGACCTAAACAAACTTTCTTTGTGATTGTAGAGATGATTTTCGGAAATTAAATTTTTTGTAAAATTTCACTTTTTTGTAAGGGTACCATCATCATTTTCTCGAAAAATTCAAAAAATATTTTTGTTTTCAGATTTGAACGCCACTTGAATATTTTGAAAATAGATTGAAAAACAAGCTCAACGACGTATTACATTCCAAATTCCGACAATTTTTTGCTTTGTTATAGACAAAATACTGATATTTCGAGCCTCAAATCGGCTTTCGCGTTTTTTGAACATCATAAAAATTTACGAAAATTCTCAAAAAAATCACTTTTTGAGTGTGGTACACAGTTCGACGAGGAATTTAAATACGAACTCAATGAGGTATAACTTTCCATGTTACGATCATTTTTGGCTCTGTAATGAGAAAAATACTGATATTTTGGGCGGAAAATAAAATTGTGACTTTTTAGTAAAATTTGAGATATTTTTTTTCTATAACTTTGCTTATAATTTTGTCAAGAGAAGACGCAGAACCAAAAGAAAGACTGTTTTGTGCAGCTAACGACCTAAACAAACTTTTTATGTGATTGTATAGATGATTTTCGGAAATTTAATTTTTTGTGAAATTTCACTTTTTTGTAAGGGGTACCATCATCATTTTTTCGAAAAATTGAAAAAATATTTTTTCCTTCAGATTTGAATGGGATTTCAATATTTTGAAAATAGTATGAAAAACAAGCTTAACGAGATATAACATTCCATTTTCCGACCATTATTGGCTTTGTTATAGACAAAATACTGAAAATTCCAGCCTCAAATCGGGCCAGACCGGTTTTCGCATTTTTTGAACATCATACAAATTTACGAAAAATCTCTAAAAATGTACTTTTTGAGCCTGGACCCAAGGTATGACATTCTATATTCTGACCGTTTTTGACTTTCTAATGATGAAAATACTGAATGCTTGTCAGAATTTAAAGTCTGTATCTAGTAATAGTAGATCAAGTTAGGGACGGCATTAATAATTACAAATCCAGATATAAAACGTTAGTATTAGATTCTTGAAATAAGATACCTCAGAACTCATTTAGATTCGTTCCTGAATGAGAAATCATATATTCAGCAAAACTTACTTTAAATTTAAAATGCCTATAAAAAGATTTTAAACGAAAGCTTAAACAAAGTGTAGGACTTGCTGTTTATTAAACAATATATTAATAATAAACATTTTATTTTATGCACTCCAAATAAGTTACAGTGTACTTCACCGTTTTAATGCTCTCTTTCGATCGCTCTCTCTAACCGAACACACCTTTCACCTGGCTTCTTTCGCAGCGACGCCGCCAAGAACCTCGGATTCACAGTCATCATCGACATGCGCGGCAATGGCAACTGCTCCACCAACGTGAAGACTATATTGAAGGTGCTGCAGGAGCACTTCAGTGCGAATATCCACAACGTGGTGATCATCAAGCCGGACAACTTCTGGCAGAAGCAGCGCGCCTCGATCTCCTCGCACAAGTACAAGTTCGAGACGACGACGGTGTCGATTGAATCCCTTAACAAAATCGCTGAAAGCCATCAGCTAACTGGGGACTTTGAGGGCCAGCAGTTGTACGACCATCAGCAGTGGACGGACGCCCGATTGGCCATCGAGGACTTCTTCTGGCAGGCCGGTGACATGGCCGATCGGATCGACGATCTGCAGGAGGACCTCAACAGAAACGACTTCGCCGAAGACGTGCCTCTGGCCAGGCATGCCATTGACCACCACAACGAGATGCGCAAGAAGATCACAAAGCTGCCCATCGAGGAACTTGACATGCAGGGCAAGAAGCTCCTGGCCAAGATTAACGCGATGGCCCCGTCAGGCGGTCAGGTGAGTAGACAGGAAATCGCATAATATTTTATCGTTATAAATGTTACCTCAAAGGAAAATTCTCATGAAATCTTACACATCTTGTTAGTTATACCAGGAAAATGGTATTAAATCGTTAATACAAATATTGCTTAAGTAGGAGATAAATTTCTGATTCATTAGCCTTTGCCTGTTGATATCCCAGTCCTACTTCTTTGGTGTTTCTTCCGTAAATATTACTTATATATAAACAAATATATATAAACTGAACGTAAAGTCAATAGCCTCTATATACCTCTTACTTTAGCCAACTGAAATCCAAATATATCCAACTAAGGTTTATGGAAATAATTTGTTTTGTCTGAGACTTAAATTTATTTCTGCCTATTTAAAAACGCCCACTTTATTTAGACTCGTAAAAATCAATCCAAATTCGTTATTCACACGTAAATTGCATAACAATGGGTTAAGTGATACATTTTGTATCAAAAATGCTTACATAACTTTTTCCTTTCAAAAAATAAGATGGGTGTTGCCAAAAATATGTTACAGTATTAAATAATATGAAACTGGTGGCATTTTGATGCGTTTATTGCGAATTTCTTTAATTTTGTTCAGCTTCTGAAACAGATTTTTAACCGCTTTCATTTTTAGCCGCCCTCCAACTCCGGGGGTTCGGATATGGACTCGGGCACTTCCTCCGCCGGACAGCAATCTCAGCCCTCGCAGCAATCTCGTTCAGTGAGCGGCAATCCGGACATGACGGCCGCAGTGAACAAAGCCCTGCGGCAGATCGACCTCATCCACACGGGGCAAGAGAAGCTGCTGATGCTGTGGCAGCACAAGAAGGTGAAACTAGACCAGTGCTTCCAGTGGCGCCTGTTCGAGCAGGACTGCGAGAAGATGTTCGACTGGATCCTGCACAACCGCGATGTGTTTCAGATGAGCTATGTGGAGATTGGACACAACTACTCAGTGGCCAAGTCCCTCCAGGATGAGCACCAAAAGTTCGCCGTGGCCTCCATGAATGTCTCCGTGAATATAGATCGGATTTTGGCCGTGGCATCCCGGTTGATCGAGAGTCAGCATTATGCTGCCCAGCATATTAAAACGTTGGCTCAGCGTTTGGACAGAACCTGGAAGGACTTCGCGGCGGGCCTGGATGAGAGAACTGCTGTTCTGCAACTGAGTGTTCTGTTCCACCACAAGGCCGAACAGTACTGCAACAGTGTGGCCAGCTGGGCAGCCGCTTGCCAAGCCTCCCAACCTCTGCCCTCGGACATTCAGAGCTTGGAAACGGCCATCCGCACACACCAATCCTTGTACGAAGCCATGTGCCAGGCTTACACGGAAGTCCACTCCACCAGCAAGAAGCTGCTGTATCAGTTGGATCATTTGGTGCAGGTGTGCAATCAACCTCCGCCTCCTGGTGTTCCGGATCATAGAAAGAACAGCAACGGCGGCAGTTTCAACAAGTATGAGCGACAGAACCCAGCAGCGGACTACAGCGAGGGCGCCAGTCATGTGCTGGCTGTGATACACCAGATCCTGGGACACCATCGCACTCTGGAAGCAAAGTGGCATCAGGAAAGGCTACGATTACATCAGACCCTAGCTCTAAGACTCTTCCAAGAAGATGTGAAGCAGGTCCTGGATTGGCTTAAGAACCATGGCGAAGTTTTCCTTAGGAAAAACACTGGTATTGGCAGGAACTTCCACAAAGCCAGAGTCTATCAGACCTCGCACGATAACTTTGAGAACGTGGCCCAGAACACCTACAGTAATGCCCAGAAACTCCTGGCCGCTGCCGATGAATTGGCTAGAAGTGGCGAAGCCGATCCCAATGAGATATATTCTGTGGCCAGGGAACTGGAACTCCAGGTGGGCAGCTTTGCGGAGAGAGTGGAGCAAAGGAGACGCCGCTTGGAGATGGCTGTAATATTCTACACTCACGAGAAGGATGTGACCGCCTGGATAGATAAACTTCGAACGGACGTGAGCACGGATGAAACGCGTCTCTCGCAGGAGAACCTCGAGGGCATAGAACGCATATTGCAGCAATACCAGAGGGATCAGCAGGAGAGCTCCGTAAATGTTTGCCTTACTACCATAGCCCAGGGTGAAGCTCTGCTGCAGGAGATGCGATCCCTGGAGTATGCCGACAATACGGGTTCCATTGCCGCTCTGGAGGCCACTCTCGAGAAGTTAAGCAAACAGAAACTGGAGCTGGAGGAGCTCTGGTCAGCTCGAAAGTTCCGCGCCGATCTCATCCTGCGTTTGCGCTACTTTGAGCGGGATGCCATGGAGCTGTCCTCACAACTGGGAATCTGGTCTGAGGAGCTCCAGCATGCCGACCTTTCCAGGGACTACCAAAAGGCCGAACAGCTCATTCGAATGCACAACGAATCGGTGACGGACATACAGAACGCCACTTACGAGGTCCTGCAGCAGGGACAGGACATGCTGCAGCTCTTCGAGAACGCTGGCTTCATTTCCATGGCGGATGCCACGCACACGGCTCAGGCTAGGATTGAATATTTGCTAGACTTTTTGCGGGAACGGGAGATCGATCTGGAGGAAATGTCCGAGGCTAAGCGGGCCAAACTCGAGCAAGCGGTGCAGCTGTGTCAATTCCAGAACGATGCCAACCAGGTGATCTCGTGGATTCGCAATGGAGAGGCCATGCTTGTCGCGAGCTTCGTTACGCCCAACAGTTTGCAGGAGGCCGAGCAGCTGCGCAAGGGTCACGAGCAGTTCCAGGTTAGAAATTATACAAATACTATTATGTTCTACGATTACTGATACCTTTTCTCCTGCAGATTGCCATCGAGAAGACACACACTTCGGCGGTGCAGGTGAAGTACCGAGCGGATGCCCTGATTAATGCCAACCACTACGACCCACAGTCCATCAGGGAAATCAGCGACGATGTGACGAAGAAATGGCAGCAACTGGTGACCTACGCGGAGGAGCGGCACAAGCTGGTGACCGCCTCAATAAACTTCTACAAAACGGCCGAGCAGGTGTGCTCGGTTTTGGACAGCCTAGAGCGGGAGTACAAGCGGGAGGATGACTGGTGTGGCGGAAACGGGGGCAGCGATAAAGCCCTGATTGTCCAGCTGATCTCGAAGCATCAGGAGCAAAAGGAAGCCTTCCTGAAGGCCTGCACATTGGCGCGTCGCACCGCAGAGACTTTCCTAAAGTATGCCAACAGGTCGCAGCAGTGTTATCAGTATAAAGGCAACTGTGAAGCCCACGTGAAGAGCAAACTAGACAAGCTTCTGACTCAGGAAAATCAAGTCCTGGACTACTGGACGCTGCGTAAGAAATCGCTGGATCAGTGTCAGCAGTTTGTTCTCTTTGAGAGAAGCGCCAAACAGGCGATTGAATGGATTCACAACACCGGAGAAGCATACCTTTCGTCAAGATCGAACTTGGTGGGCATAAGCAAAGAGGAAACGGAGGGACTGCTAAAAGAGCACAATGAATTCCGCAGCACTGCAAAGGAGACGCGTGAGAGGGTTAAGCTTCTGATTCAACTAGCTGATAGTTTGGTGGAGAAGGGCCACGCACATGCCAGCGACATCAAGCAATGGGTGGCCTCGGTGGATCAGCGGTACAAGGACTTCAGCAACCGCATGGACAGCTACTGCGAGCAGCTGGAGAAATCACTGGGCATGTCCCAGGAGCAGTTACTTTTGGGATCCGATGGAAATAGTTCGATATGCTCCTCCTCCGGGGTGAGCAGTATCGATCGTCATTCGGACCCCACGCTGGAAGCTAAGCTAAACAGCAGCAATAAGGAGAACAAGGAGATAAACGAGGAGAAGCGCAAGTCGGCGAGGAGGAAAGAGTTCATCATGGCAGAACTTATGCAGACAGAGCGAGCGTATGTTAATGATCTGGCCACCTGCATCAAGTGTTTTCTGGAGGAATTCAGAGGTGGAAGAAATGTACCCCCTGCACTCATTGGCCAGGAAGATGTGATATTCGGCAACATCAGGGAGATACACCACTTCCATCAGAAGATTTTCCTGCGGGAACTGGAGAAATACGAAACAATGCCCGAGGACGTGGGCCATTGCTTCGTAACATGGGCCTCCAAGTTCGACATGTATGTGCATTACTGCAAGAACAAGCCCACATCGAATAATCTGCTAGTCCAGCACGGGGGCAGCTTCTTTGAGGAGCTGCAACGGCGCCTGGAGGTGGATCATCCACTGCCCGCGTATCTCATCAAGCCCGTGCAGAGGATCACCAAATACCAGCTGTTACTTAAGGATCTCCTTTCGTGCTGCGAGGAGAGCCACGGCGAAATCAAGGAGGGTCTCGAGGTGATGCTTAATGTTCCCAAGAAAGCCAATGATGCCATGCATCTATCGCTGCTGGAAAACTGTGATGTCTCGGTAGACAAACTGGGTGAAGTTGTGCTGCAGGACGCCTTCCAGGCCTGGGACACCAAGCAGATCATTCGAAAGGGCAGAGAGCGGCGAGTTTTCTTGTTTGAATTGTATCTGCTGTTTGCCAAGGAGGTCAAGGAGTCCAGCGTAGTCAAGTACCAGTTCAAGAGCAAGCTCATGACCACCGACATGGGCATCACGGAGCACATCGAAGGCGATGAGACCAAGTTCGCCGTGTGGACGGGACGTTCCCCCATGCTCTCGGATTGCAGGATTGTTTTGAAGGCGACGAGCTTGGAAACAAAACAGGTGAGTCGTTTGCTGATTTCTTTAGACTCCATTTACTATCGTTTTATACTTTTAGATTTGGGTGAAGAAACTGCGTGAAGTGATGCAGGAGACGTGCTTCTCGGGCACCTCATTGACCCTGCCCAAGTCCCCAGCCAAACACTCGGGCTCCTCGCAACGATCTTCGCGGGATCTGGATGAACAGCTAACGGAGAACGACCATGATCGCTGTTCTCTGGCTAGTTTTGGATCGGGTAATACCACAGATAGTGATAATAAGGTAAGTCTTTACTGGTTTTTCTGATTACTTCACTGTTTGACTTTATCAATTATGATTCTAACTATATTAAGTGGCAAAATCATAAGACCGTTGTAACATTTTATAGGAAATATATGGCAGTGAACCCATTATTATGGTTAAGATGTTCTGCTCAGCGAGTTTTCCCCCTATTTTCGAGGTAGCTTTAAGCTCCCGCAAGAACTTTCTCAGTGGTCCTACCTCACATGGAAACAGCTTGCCCCCTCATCCCCATCCAGCACTTCCATCTCTCTCCAGAAACGGGGATTCTGCTGCTATTGGCCAGCTGAACTAGTTTTCCCACTCGCCAGGACTCGGATACGTTCGGTACGAGGTCCTGCAACATGTTTAAAATTCATAGCAGGGCTTAATGAGATTTTCCTCGCTGGTGCGTGGAACTCTTCGAGACCGCTGGCTGTCGTCAGTTCAGAGTACCCAGATCACAGTACCCAGTACCCAGTAGCCAGGAGCAGGCTCTATCTTGTAGGTCGAGTGTGTGCTGGATTATATATGACTGCTTTTAGCGCTGTTTCGTTACATTTGCTTAATGTAAATTTTATGTGACACTTCTTTATAGTTAGGTCTGTCTGCCGGCGACGTCTTCCAACTGTCAACGGGCAGCGTTTTCTCCATTTTCGGCATTCCCGACCAGATTTCGCTACTAAAGCTAAGGAGCGCAGATTTCGAGAGGTTTTACGACCCACATAACCGTTTGTCTTATGTGCGGGAGGTTACAGAGGTTAAGGGGTTCGCTTTGTGCTAGTTTTGTATGCCTCCAGGATATTTTTAACACCCAGCCACTATTTTCGGTGTTTATTTCTTCTTAATTATATTTTATTGCTTGTCATATGATATCAAAAAGCGGGATAAAAAGTCCTTTCTTATCGTAATATCATATTATAATACAGTAATGTGAGGAATAATACATTCCTTTGAAGTTTCCTACATCTATTTTAGGTTCTTTACTGAATTTATCTTGGTTAATAAGTATTTTTCATAAACTAATCAGATTGACTCACAGTTTATGAATAAACGGAGCTATTAAAGTTGCTCACAAGTAATCATAATATTCTTCTGTGGTCATAGTTTTTATCTTTAACATTAAAAAAATAATAAAAATAATTATTAAAAACGAAATTCCCGCCCATCTGAAAACTCAAAGACCCCAACAATAACAACCAGAGAGAGAGAGAGAGAGAGAGTGAAAGCTCTGGGCAGAAGCACTCTCCCAGTTTCCATGAAAAGCTTTTAGTTTTTTGCCAATTTGAACCCCCCTTGAGGGTAGTGGGTTAAGGCAATTGCCATTGCGAATGTTTTCGGTGCGTTCGTCGCTGCGTGAGCTCGTGGATTTATATGCGGATTCGTTGGATTCGTAGATTCGTGGATTCGTGGATTCGTGTGGGGCAGCTGCTCCAGTTGCTCCGCAGAGTTTCAGCCAAGAGGTTCGTTCGCTCACCGCCGGGTCACTCGGTTTTCCTAAGTTTTCCTCTCGGATTTTCCATCGCCTGCTGCCTGCAGATGCGCGCTTCCCGGCCAAAAACGCCAATCGCAGCAGCACCAGCAATCTCTTCTTCTCCGAAACTCTGAAACTGCACTAAGATTCTCCTCTTCTTCGAGTGAACCGACATTAGAGGAGCAAAAACGCATTCACTCAGCCAACATCCATAAATAGTATGAAGACCCACTTACCGTGTCAAGTGATTGAAAATTAACCATAATCACAGTGATAAGAACAACAATGATAGCAGCGCACAAAGATAAAGACTCCGCCACAATCTCCCCTTCAAAAGTAAAGGAAAGTCAGCTGCTCGCGCTAAACAACAAGCAATAATACCGCAAATGCCCCAAAAAATTAAACAATGCTTAAAAAAGAAGATTACATAAATGTCAGCCTCTCGTTGAGGCCTAAACTGTCCCGAAAAATGCTGTAAACAAAGACCTGGCTTATATAAATAACTAGAAACAAAAAAGTGAAACAACAATCCGAGTAATGCAAATAAATATGATAAAAAGCTGTTTCTGCTGCCAAAAACTACACAAGCCCAGAATGAGAACCCTTTTTAGCATTTTTGCGAGGGCAAAAAGAAAAAGTGAGCTGAGGATGAAAATGTCTGCAGCAGCCGCGGGCGAAAATACCACCCTACCACCCAGTTTTCCGCCGCTGCTGCCTTTGACCTTTTTCACGCCTTTAGTCACTTGAGTAGCAGTTACATTCCCCTCCCGTTTAGACGTTTCGTTGCCCCCAGAAACTCAGACCCCCCGAGAACTGCTGTCAACTGCAAAGTGATCGCAGCTCGAGATACATTTTCAGTGGGAATTCTGGTCATCACCCCATAGCATTAGGAGTTTGAACACAAGCTTTAAGATTTGGTTTCATTTTGAATGTGTAATAAAGCTGTGGTTTTCGATGAAAGAGTCATAGGTTCTAAGATAAATATATATTTTGTTTAGTTATTCTTGAAATGATTCACATCTTACAGTCACATTTGAAGTATTTTGTTGATAGTCTAGCTCCTTTAGATAAACTGTGTTACTGACCCCTTTGATGTTCTTTAAACACATCTTTGTCTCACTTGTTTTCATAAAGATGATATCTAGATGGATATGGGTTTCTATTTCCATCCCAATTCCCCAGCCACATCTTGTGGCGTTTCTCATGAAGGGTATCTGATGGCTAACGCCACCAGGAGCTTTGTTCTTCTAGCAGCCGACTCACCCGAGTCGGGGCCATTAATTTCCCGCTTATCTATTGCATTTTAATATTTATTTCAACGCGATAGGGTTGCGGTTCCGTTGTTTGGCTAATGCGGCTTCTCCCTGTGTGTGGTGGCTTTTATTTTGTATTTTTTCAGTTACGGCTGATGTAGACACGACATGTTTTGGTCATTACAATTATCGAGTCGATGCATTGCAATTTAATTTGAGTGCCAGTTGGCTGGATAGCGGACAGCGGACAGCGGACATGGGGGGGCGAGTGCATTGGCCAGCCTTGTGCCCCTTCCGATGTATCCATCAGTTGTCACTGCTGCTCCTTGTTGGTTCTGGGCCCCCTTTGGCCAGCTGACCACTTCACCATTTCCATAATGGACCCAACCCTTGGCCAAAGGCCAGTTTGGCCTAATCTAATCCAATTTGCAGACGGAAGCAATTAAAACAGCATACGAACAGCACAAACATTAGCAACTGTGGTCGGTCAAAACCGCTTAGTTAACCCAACAAAGCCGAACAAGGGAAAAACATTTTCCAAACTGCAATTGGATGCCTTTTTCTACTTGGGGAGACTCCCACTTTTATTTTGATCTCGTGTGAAAAGTTTCAAAGCTTGTTCTAAGCCTGGCAGGAAGTTCTTTCAGTTTTGTGTTTCTTAATCTTAAAGGTTCTTATGGAGATGATAGAATTTAAATTAGAAATTCTATTCCAAACGGAATATAGTATATTACATAGATATATTGTTAAGTTACTTGTTGCCAAAAGGGGGTTTCCCCTTAGGTTTTCCAACCATCAAGGGAGCGAGCAAAAGTTACCAAGCTTACTTTAAGTTGGCAAGAGATTAAATTAATTTAGTTTGAAATCTAAGCGCTGCTCTAACAACACTCCCTGGCTCCTCCATTCTCGCCACTGTGTGCATTCATTTGCAAAAATTGAATTAGGTTGGCTTTTTGAGTGAATGAAATGAAAGTATTAGGGAAACGGAGAAGCCAACGGAGGAAGATGGAAAATATTTCTGGCATTTTGTCAACGCCACAAAATGTCAACGAGTCCTTACAGAGGGTGTAAGTACACACACACACACAAAGTAGCAAAGTTTTTAATGTTGCTTAAAGAGCAGAAACCAAACCAGCAGCATCTGGCCAAAGTGATGGGAATGCCACTTAGCCGGCAACAGCAGCTGTTCCAAAACCCTCAATTTTCCTCGAATGTATGCAAATTTTCACGGGCAGCTCATGCCGAGCATCTGTAAATACCCTTACCTTGGCTGCTTAATGTTCCATTGCTAAACCAATAAAAATATCTCAATAAGTTAAGCAAATCAAAGTATTTGGCTATTGAGCTGTAAGGGAAATTCCTATCGAGGACTCAGCTGGAAATATTTACGCTAGACAGGAGAATTTTCATGACCTAAAAGTATTAATTTAAAATCAACGGGCTTAGTGTTTTTAAATCTTGTAAGAGATAATCATCTTAGGCCTTGGAAGCTGCAATTAAATAATTTTCAGCTGGAAAGAGTCTTTCTGATTCACTCGAGGTACTTCCCTGCTCTTTGCTTGGCATCGCTTTTCGCAAATTGTTTTCCCCCGAACTATTGTGTAGGTAAGGACTGAGAGGGCGAAATAGCGAGAAAAGCAAACAGAATCAGAGAAAAACCCAGTCATAATTGCTCGGCCGCGACTCGGAGATCGGTGGACCGGGCGAAGTGGCAGTGGCTATGGCGCACCTGCCACATCTTCAGAGTCTCGGGATTCTTTTCGGAAACACGCGCTAAATGCCTGGCAACGACCGTCGAGCAACAAACAGAAATGTGTAAAAATAACAAACCCATGTGCACAGATATAGGCTTATATACGGACATAGTTCGGGGTAAACAAACGTGCGCTGAGAGAACTCAAGATAAATTCTGGGCCGTTTGGCGGTGGCCAGCTTTTTATCTATGCAAATAAAATAAATAAAATATATTTGGCCGTATAACTAAACGAAATCAAAACAGAAGCGGGAGAAAAGTGGCGGTGGAATGATGCTGACAACACAAGGCCAATGTCTTTAATTTACTCGATTCACTTTGCTCACTGGCCAAAAAACAACAATCACACCAATTAAACTTACAATTCACGACCGTTGAGTGTAAAAAATAGTGCATAAAAATCAAAGCCAAACAAAATGAAAACTCATTAGCAATGAAAACAAACAAGGAAGCACAAAGAGTTCAATGTTATAACCTCAATCAAAATCAATTTTAGTTCTCTTAATTATTAATTTTCATTTGC